CGCAGGTAGTTTTTGATGTGAGTGCTGCTCCCTGACACAAGTCCATGGAGAGGAGACTGATAGAATTTCCAGACTCTCTTCCACTACTGTCTCATAGCTCAGCTGAAGAGAATAGTCATTACCTCACATTCCAGCTAAGGGTATGGTAAGGACAAGTGTTCAATAGATATAAGAATTGCTGAGGTCCTTTGGACTTTCAAGGCTGTTCTATCATTGTGATCATTATTGATCTTCTATCTCAACTCTATTCCCAAACTATAGGTCCCTTAAATCCATTACAACTCAAAAGTTAGCCATGTCCAACTGAATATATTCAACTACTGAGCATCCACAGTTCTCTACAGAATTCCAAAGGTGCACATTGAGTGAAGGAATTTGTCCTCTTTTAAGTCCCAAGTGACTGACCCCTTATCCTGGGAGTGTGACTTCTAATTCTAAACTTTCTTCTTTGCCAGGAGACATAACTTCTTAGCATCTAACCTGTCAAGTCCTTTAAGAAATTTTTATGTTTCAATGAAATCACATGTCTTTTCTCACAATTCCAGGGAATAAAGGACTTCTCTACCGAAATGTTCCTCATAGAGCAATCTCTTATTCTCAAAATTCAGCCTAGTTTTCCTTATGTTTGATCCGTGGGATTTGACCATTGCTGGCAGGGTCAGCGTTTATTACCATTGCTCATTGTCCTTTAGAAAGTGATAACAAATTGCCTTCTTCAGCCCCTGCAGTCCATGTGCTGTAGGTTACACCCACAGTGTTTTAGGAAGGCTGTTTCAGGAATTTGACTAAGCAACAATGAGTCATTTGCACTTTCTGCAAAGCAAGTTTATCTTTCCTTGGGTAAGAAGACTAAAACATTGTACTGTAGGAGTTATCATCTTGTACTGTACAATTACTGTAAGACTGCTTCACTCATATATTCCAACCCCTGCATAATAACAGCTAACATACCATTTGCTTACTGAATCAGCATGTTAACTTTCTCTGATTGATGGACCATAACAGCCATATCTCTCTGAATATGAACATTTCTTACTCTCACCTTTTTAAAAAATCTGTTTTTCTCTTCATTTTTTTCTATTGTGGATATCTTCATATATCCCTGCACGATATTTCAAATACCATATTCTTACTCAGTCACTTAATCTATTTATATCCCTTTGCAGCCTCTTTGATCCCTTCTCACAGCTTACTTTCCCACCTTACTTCTTATTCTCAGCAAACTTGAACATAATCTAAACTACCTGTAAAGATTGTAAATAGCTGGTCTTTGCAGTTGTTAAACTAAAAGTGATCAATTTATTCTTGCTTTGTTATTTGTTGGTCAATGCTCATCCATGCTAATATATATCTACCAATCCCTGATGCTATGTATGCTGCCATCTCTATTCTCTGTTTTTGTGTTCTTTTGGGGCTTGCATGTTCTAGTGTGTGAGAGAGCAGGCTTCTTCTGGTCTAACAAGAAGAGTGTTATATATAAAATGTAATTACAACTTTACAGACTATAACAATTGGCTGTACATTACTATAAAAAATGTTGACAGGACCTAGCCTTTTCAAAGCATTCCATAATCTTTTACTGAATGTTAGATCCTGGCATTTTCTGTACCAATGACGCCAGGTTAACTGACCTCCAGTTCCTTGTTTTCTCTCACTGCTTTTTTGAATAATATAATTGCATTTATTACCTTCTAATCCATGGAAACTGTTCCAAAATCTAGGGAATTCTGGAGGATCAAAACCAATGTGTTCACTATCTCTGTACTTGCCTCTTTTAATATCTGAGGATTTAAACACAATTGGTGTGGTCATGGTGATTACTTGATAACAAATGTACATATCATGAATTTTGTATGAGGTTTTCCTCTAATTAGTAAATAAGTTCCAATTCTATATCTCTATTTCTGTGTGTATTTCTGGTGTGCAAAGACTTTTCGTCCATATTTTTACGAAATGTTAATGTAATTAGGAGTAGAATTGCATGGTTAAAGCTAACTGAAATCAGGATTACCATTAAGTAAACATTTTCAAAATTCCTGGCATCAAATATTTAACTAAATTATTTTGCTTTGAAAATGTTAGCTCAGTCCTTTGAGTATAGGAGTTGGGAAGTCGTGTTGAGGTTGTACAGGACACTGGTGAGGCCTCTTCTGGAATACTGTGTCCAATTCTGGTCACTGAGTTATAGGAAGGATATTTTTAAGCTAGAGAGAGTTCAGAGATTTACCAGGACGTTGTCGGATATTGAAGGTTTGGCTTATAAAGAAAGGCTGGATAGGCTGAGACATTTTTTCACTGGAGCATAGGAGGTTGAGAGGTGACCTTATAGAAGTTCATAAAATCATGAGGGGTATGGATAGAGTTATAGATTCATAGAGATATATAGCACGGAAACAGAGCCTTCGGTCCAACTCGTCTATGCCAACCAGGTATCCAAAATAAATCTAGTCCCATTTGACAGTATTTGGCCCATATCCCTCTAAACCCTTCCTATTCATATACCCATCCAGATACCTTTTAAATGTAATTGTACCAGCCTCCACCACTTCCTCTGGCAGCTCATTTCATACATGTACCACCCTCTATATGAAAGAAGTTGCCCCTTAGGTCCCTTTTATGTCTTTCCCTTCTCACCTTAAACCTATGCCCTCTAGTTTTGGACTCCCTCATCCCAGGGAAAAGACCTTGCCTATTTACCCTATCCATGCCCCTCATGATTTTATAAAACTCTATAAGGTCACCCCTCAGCCTCTGACATTCCTGGAAAAATAGCCCCAGTATGTTCAACCTCTCCCCATAGCTCAAAGGTTTAACAGTAGGTGTCTTTTCCCTAGGATGGGCGATATCAAGACTAGGGGACATATCTTTAAGGTGTGAGGAGAGAGATTTAAAAAAGACATGGGGGAAAATTTTTTACACAGAGGATGGTTTGCATGTGGAAAGAACTTCCTGAGGAAGTAGTGAATGTGGGCACAGTTACCACATTTAAAAGACACTTAAGTAAGTGCAGGAATAGGAAAGGCTTGGAGTGAAATGTGCCATGAGCAGGCAGGTAGGACTAGTTTAGTTTGGGATTATGTTTGGCATGGACTGGTTGGACTGTTTCCATGCTGTATGACTCGATGACTCTGGCTAATGCCAATTTAACTAAAATCAGTGTTGCTGAAAAAAAATGTTTTGCTGAAACTTTTTATCTTGCATTCATCAGGACATTCACAAGAAATAAGAATATAAAGTGTAAACAATATTTTATACTTATGAGAAGAGTGTTGATTGATTGGAAAATTGACTGTGATTTGTAGAAGTGATGTTGGTGTTATATCAGTCTTATGGAGGGAAAATGACTGTTTTACAGCAACATTTAAAAGAAGTACACATGCAGATGTTCATTAACAATAAGGTAGGTTCAGTATTGATCTCCTCAGTATTGAGAGAGTCTTGTTGCTGTGATGACACACATGAAACATGGATTTTGGGTAAAGGGGTGGAGAATAACTGGTGCCCCTGTATTCCACTGAGCAATTCTTCAGTAAGGGATTAACTTCCAGTAAGGAAAGAAAACATTCAGTCTATTGCTGCAAGTGCTGTGTACTGTGCTAGTCCAACAGCCAATTTCAGAGCCTCTGTGTGTTACACTGATGAGCCTGTAAATACAGAGAAGGAATTTGGTGGATTGGGATGAGAATGAAGAGTGAACAGGATTTATTTTTGGACAAGTTGACAGTTCAACAATGGCAGATCTTCAGGCAGCTGTTTAAGAGTAGTGCAGGGTCATCTTGAAGTTTAATGGGGCAGCGAGTGGTAGGAATGGATTGGTCACCAGTTATACACCCCCCAAACTTGATTTTACTTTCTAAGGAAGTGCATGTTGAAAAGGTCCCCCATTGAATTGCAAGCTGACAAAGTCCATGAACCAGAATTTCAGCAGCAGAAGTGGAAAGAAGATCAGAATCATTTCAGGCTTAGAGTTTAAGGGCAATGCTCAGGTTTTGTGTGATTTTGGCATTTGGAGTCATCCACTGGACATTAGAATTTTCATTGTGAAATAGTTATTTTTGTAAAGTCAATCCCATCAGCAGCCAAGTGTAATTCTACATGTTGTCACTTGATGTTCCCATCATGAGCGTGGGAATAGGAATATAAGGAAGAAAAACCGACAAGCAGTGCTCCAGATGCAAGATTATGTATTCATTGCTCAGTGATATTCTGTGACACTTTATACAGGGTGTCAAAACCAGTTGTAATCTTTGAATGCACCATAGTTAGAAAACAGAAAATAATTGGTGAGTTTGCATGAACATAACTGAGGCTGAATGCTGGGCTGTAAGCAATTCCACACTAGGTCACTGCAGGAGTGTCCCAAGTAAAATGCCTCCACCCAGACACAATACTAAAGTCAAACACAAACATCTGAGAATATGCACACAACTCAAATGATGCTCTTGTTGTTACCTTCACTGTCCTACTTATAGAGTCAGAGTCATAAAGTCAAACAGCACGGAAACAGACTTTTCAGTCCTACCAGTCCATGCTGACCATAATCCCACCTGCCTGGTCCTGGCCCAAAAATCTCAACTTTCCCTATTCCTGTACTTACCTAAGTGTCTGTTAAACGTTGTAACTGTACCCACATCCACCACTTCCTTGGGAAGTTCATTCCACATACAAACCACACCCTGTGTAAAATATTTGTCCCTAATGTCTTTTTTAAATCTCTCCCCTCTCACCTTAAAAATGTTCCCCCTAGTCTTGAAATCCACCATCCTGGGGAAATGAAACCAGTCATTAACCCTACCTCTACATTCAAAATGGCCCTACATGTGTAAGCTTGCATACTGTAATTGCATCCTCTCTCCAATAATGATGCTGTAGCATGTCTTTCTGTTTAACGTCAACCGTTATAGCCATTGAAAGCTACATTTAGAACAGGCCAAGTAACGAAATTCAGGGAATCTGATCTGTGTTAGTGCTACTGTTTACACTCTTATTTAATTCAACAGGAAAATTCTTACAAAATAAAGGAACTAGAAGCCTATAAAGTCACGACTCTTGAAAGGCACGATGCAGATGCAATTAAAAGCTTATGGAACGATCCAGGAGTGAGAATGTGTTATGAACGACAACGAGAGTACCAGTTGCTTGACTCTACAAATTAGTAAGTCTTTATTATTCTTTATTTTCCTTTCAGAAGTTTCTTTGTGCACAGTTCAATTTGAATTAACCAACATATTGGTTATTGCATTGTCTTGTTCTGCCTGTGATGCCTTAGCAATTCCATGTGTGTTTTTCCTTTATTCATTTATGGGATGAGGGCATCGCTGGCTAGGCCAACATTTATTGCCTATCCTTAATTGCCCCAAGGGCAGTTCAGAGTCAACCACATTGCTGTGGATCTGGAGTCACACGTAGGCTAGACCAGGTAAGGATGGCAATTTCCTTCCCTAATGGACATTAGTGAGCTAGATGGGTTTCGCTTGATCCCAGCATTCTCCACAATTGCACCTAGGTGCCTTTTGAACCAACTTATACAATGTGGTTTAATGGCCTTCCAAGATAACTATTGAGTATCATACAATCACTTATGGCACAGAAGACCATTCAGCCCACCGTATGAATGCCAGCTTCCCACAAAGCAATCTAGGGAGCATCATTGCCCTTCTTATAAATGCCCATCCAACTTCTTTTTGAAATCGTTGATTTTGCAGCTACTTAGAACTTCAGTAAGGCCACACTTGGAATATTGCATACAATGTAGGTGTTCACACTGCCAGAAGGATGCAGAGGCTTTGGAGAGGGTACAGAACAGGTTTACCAAGGATGTAGCCTGGTTTGGACGGTAGAGATTGAAAAATCTCTGTTTGTTTGAGGGTGAGGGGTGACCTGATAGAGATTTACAAAATTATGAGAGGCATAGATAGAATGGATGTTTGGCAATTTTTTTCCCTGGGTAGAAATATCGATTATTAGGGGATATTGGTTTAAGGTAAAAGTGGATAAGTTTAAAGGAAATATGAGAAGCAAGTCTTTTACAGAGGGTGGTAAGTGCCTGAAATGAGCTGCGAGACGTGGTGGTGGTGGAGGCAGATAGAATAGCAATGTTTAAGAGGCATCGTGACAGACACATGAATAGGCAGGAAATAGAGGGATAGAGACTGCGTAGAGGCCGTGCAAGCTTAGTGGGCCAAAGGTCTGATGAAGGGTCTAGGCCCGAAACGTCAGCCTCTCTGCTCCTATGATGCTGCTTGGCCTGCTGTGTTCATCCAGCCCTGCACCTTGTTGTCTCGGATTCTCCAGCATCTGCAGTTCCTACTATCTCTGGGCCAAAGGTCCTGTTCCTATCCTGTACACTTTGTTTTTCCACTGTTGTCATGGGCACCTCCTTCCATTCTTGTGTAAACACAGAGTTTTAAACCTGAACAACTTTGCCCTGTACATCACCAATAACCACTGTGTGAAATAGGTATGGAATTCAGGGAAGCCTTTTTCTAATTGAAAGACAGATTGGATTTTCATCTCTATTTTTTATTCATTCGTGAGATGAAGACGTCACTGGCCAGGCAGCATTTATTGCCTAATTGCCCAGAGAGCAGTTAAGAGTCAACCACATTGCTATGGGTCTGGAGTCACATGTAGGCTAGACCCTGGTGATAAGGACGGCAGTTTCATTCCCCTAAGGAACATTAGTGAACCAGATGGGTTCCCAACCCCTCCCCGAATCAACACTAGAATCATGGTCATCATTAAACTCTTAATTCCAGACTTTTATTGAATTTAAATTCCACCATCTGCCATGGCAGGATTCAAATCTGGGTCCCCAGAACATTATCTGGGTTAACAGTCCAGTGACAATACCACTAGGCTACTGCCTCCCCATTCCACTCTTATTGGAATAAACAGTCATAGACAATTTGGTGTTTGTGATTTGCCTCTTCAATACTCATCCCAGCCTCAATTTAGGCAGTCAGCTCTCCCACAGGAACAGGGTAGTGGCCTCACTGATATGCAAAGATGACACAGATAGGAGCTCTGTAGAAATTTCCTGTCAATCAGTGTTGTTACCACAGAGTCCTGAGCACTGGGTGTGAGAGGTTGGGAGGCAGCCACTGGGTGTACTCTGTGAAAGGGATTATAACTTGTAGTCACAGCAAGCTGGGGGTGGCTGTGGCGTTGTTATTTTGTTCATTCCTTTAGGATTTTTAAGCCTTAGACACTTCCTGAAGGTGAATTCCCTGCTGCTGCTTTGTATACTTTTTGTATTTCCACATTAGTGCGACATGGAGCTGGTTCCTACGCAGTAAAGTTATTGTTGCCGATCTCAGTCCCTCCCAAGTGCAAACAGTCTGCAAACAGCATGATTCATGATTAGTCATTATGCCAGTGGAGCAGTCACTGACACCCATTTAGAAGTTGACCTGTGACCCAGATATTTACAGGGACGCTGGGAAGGACTGAGGCTGGACGCAGAGAGAGTGGGGAGGCATGGGAGACGTTCATGGTGGCTTGGCAATTCAGGGACATGGACTTGCAGAAGGCCACATGCATTGACTTGATTTGATTTGATTGCTTTTCAATGGCTTACCAGCTAGTGGCCAGTCAGTCTCTGATGCTGGCAAGGCTAGTGTGGGTGGAGCCAGGTAGTTGCAGATGGTTGTTTAATTAAAGATAGAAGTTGAATAGATAGATGTTTATATAAAAGTTGAAAAACGTGAAAGGTTATGGGGAAAAGGCAGGAGATTGGCACTAAGTTAAAATTCTCAGAGAACAATGTAGCAATGATGGGCTGAATGTTACGGTGCAAAAGGAAGCCAAGTAGTGATTCAGTGAGATGGCCTGCAGTGAAATGTGGGGAATGAAGAAAGGATTGGTAAGGTGGGAGAGATTGTTTGGGGGCAGGGGAGGGAAGCAGGGCAAATTGAGATCCAGTGGGAAATCACAAATTGGGTGAGGGGTCATTCATTGGAGAATTGATCGCATTTGGAAAAGAATGGACTTATTAGGGATAGTCAGCATGACTTCATGGTGGGGAGGTCTTGTCTCTCAAATGTACTTGACTTTTCTGAGGAAGTGACAAAGATGATTGAGGGTAGTGCACTGGATGCAGTCTGCATGGACTTTGCTAAAGCATTTGACAAAGTGACTTATAGTAGGCTGATCCAGAAGATTAAGTCACATGGGATCCATGGTGAGTTTGTAAGTTGGATGCAAAATTTGCTCAGCCATAGAAGCATTTTGGGAGGTCAAATGCAAGAAGAAAGTAGACAGTAAGTGACAGAACCCTTAAGAGCAATGATATGATTAGAGATCCTGGAGTGCAAGTCTATAGCTCCCTGAAAGTGGTAACACAAGTGGATCATGTGGTAAAGATGGCATATGGTATGCTTGCTTTCATCAGAGTACTGAGTATAAAAGTTGGCAAGTCATATTGCAACTGTATAAATCTTTAGTTAGGCTACATTGGATTATTGTGTGCAGTTCTAGTTACCATACTAAAGGAAGGTTGAGGAGGCTTGAGAGGGTGCAAAAGAGGTTTACCAGAATATTACCTGGATTGGAGTGTATTTGCGGTAAGGAGAGGTTGGACAAACTTGAATTATTTTCACTAGAGCATTGGAGGCTGAGGGGCAACCAGATAGAAGAATATAAATTTATAAGAGGCATGGATAGTGTGGATACTCAAGAGTTCCTTTTCCCCAGGGTAAAAATGTCAAATACTAGGTTTAAGGTGAAAGGTAAACAGTTCAAAGGAGATGTACAAGGCATGATTTTACACAGAGGGTGGTTGGTGCCTGGAACATATTGCTAGGGGAGGTGGTGGAAGCAAATAGAATAGCAACATTTAAGAGGCATTTAGACAGACACATGAACAGGCTGGGAACAGAGGGATGTAGACCACACGCAGGCAGATGGGATTATTTTAGAATGGCATCGTGGTCAGTACAGACATGGTGGGCCAAAGGGTCTGTTTACTGTTCTATGTTCCATGAGGTGGAAATTACAGGATGAAAATGGAGGGAGTGGGGCTGACACAATCAAGGTTGGACGTGATAGCTGGAGCTTTGCGCTGGAAAGCATCACCTTTCCTCCTGGCCCATGGGCAGACCTGGATAGGCAACAACCTGTTGGATCCAGCCCATCTCACAGTTCTTCATCTGTCAGGCTTCCTCAACCCAGGGGAAACCAACTCATGAAAGTTAAATCAAAATGTCTGCCAGAAAGCCATGCTACCTTATTAACCTATTTAAATAATAGACTCGCTTCTGGAGAACTAGTTACAGTATCCCAGCCATCCGAGGTACCTCTGTTAAAACGGGAGGTGGGCAGCCTGCTGTCAGGTCTCAGAAAAACCAAAGAACAGCGGATGCTGCAAATCAAAAGCAAAAACAGAAATTGCTGGAAAAGTTCAGCAGGTCTGGCAGTACCTGTGAAGATAAATCAGAGATTTTATTTCTGATGTCCCCAGAAACCTTGGATTACAGACATAATGCACATAACCATAGACTAGTACAGCACAGGAATAGGCCCTTCAGCGCACCATGTCTGTGTCTACTATGATGCCATTCTAAACTAATCCCATCTAGCTGCACATAGTCTGTATTACTCTATTCTCTGCCAGTTCGTGTGTCTGCCCAAATGTCTCTTAAACATGGTTAAGATATCTCCATTTACTACCTCCCCTGGCAGCACATTCCAGGCACCTACCAGCCTCTGTAAAAACCTTGCCTTGCACACCCCCTTTAAACTTTCTCATTTTACTTTAAACCTATGACCCCCTAATATTTGAAATTTCCACCCTGGGAAACAGACTCTGACTATCCACCCTATCCGTGCCTCTCACAATTTTATATACTTTGATCAAGTCACCCCACAGCCTCCGATGCTCTAGCAAAAACAATCCAAGTTTGTCCAACCTCTCCTTCTAGCGAATACATTGTAATCCAGGCAACATCGTGATAAACCTCTCTTGCACCCTCTCCTAAGTGTTGCGAAGTTGGATAGAGTACTTGTGGATTGGAAGGCAGGACATTAGAATTTGATGTTTGTGAAATGTTGGTGTTTGTAAAATGCTATGGGAAAAGCAGTATGTAGTCCCTTTTAAGAGATGGTGTGCTTTTTCTACGCTTAGAGATTCGAAACGGATAGCTGTGGATTTTGCAGGCACACAGACCACCTGAATTGAAACATTTGTATCAAAAGGCTGTACGGTTAGAAGGCAAAGCAGCATTTTTACCAAGACAACAGGTTTTTGAATTTAACCAATTATTTTAAACCAGGCCCTTAGATACCAGAAACCAATTAAATATAAATCTGAGATAGTAGGAACTGCAGATGCTGGAGAATCCGAGACAACAAGGTGCAGGGCTGGATGAACACAGCAGGCCAAGGCGCATCATAGGAGCAGAGAGGCTGACGTTTCGGGCCTAGACCCTTCATCAGAAAAGGGGGAGGGGAAGGGGGTTTTGAAATAAATAGGGAGAGAGTGGGAGGCGGATAGAAGAGGGATAGAGGAGAGGATAGGTGGAGAGGAAACAAACAGGTCGAAGAGGCGGGGATGGGGCCAGTAAAGGTGAGTGTAGGTAGGGAGTTAGGAAGGGGATAGGTCAGTCCAGGGAGGACGGACAGGTCAAGGGGGCGGGATGAGGTTGGTCGGTAGGAGATGGAGGTGCGGCTTGAGGTGGGAGGAGGGGATAGGTGGGAGGAAGAACAGGTTAGGGAGGCAGGGACGAGCTGGACTGGTTTTGGGATGCGGTAGGGGGAGGGGAGATTTTGAAACTTGTGAAATCCACATTGATACCATTGGGCTGCAGGGTTCCCAAGCGGAATATGAGTTGCTGTTCCTGCAACCTTCGGGTGGCATCGTTGTGGCACTGCAGGAGGCCCAGGATGGACATGTCGTCTGAGGAATGGGAGGGGGAGTTGAAATGGTTCGCGACTGGGAGGTGCAGTTGTTTATTGCGAACCGAGCGTAGGTGTTCTGCAAAGCGGTCCCCGAGTCTCCGCTTGGTTTCCCCGATGTAGAGGAAGCCACACCGGGTACAGCGGATGCAGTATAATATAAATCTGATGGTTTTGACAACATAGGATCAATCCTATTGTAAGAAATTGATATGTCATCGAGAGTATAAAAGATGACGGCATTTGGAAAATCGGGGGGAGAGCCAACTCTCATCTGCCAAGAGAACAGCTTTGAGCTCTAAAAGAATGAATCACTGGCTCTCACAGAATTCTCTAAGCCTTACAGTAAGCTCCATCTACATTAAAGGTACCTATAGCACAAATAGTTAATGCTCCTGACAAAAGAATTCAACACAGAAGGCATTCCTGACAGAAGGATTCACTGAGAAGAGATTCCTGACAGAAGATCAACAGAGAAGATACAGAAAATTCCGGAAGATTTAACCCGGCTGTAATTTTGAGAGACTAAATTCTAATTTCATTTTATTTTGGTTCATATAAGTGGGACTTATATTTATTGGAACAGCATACCATTAGAACCATGTTTTATTTGGGAATTGTTAGTATTTAGAAGGGATTTATTCAGTTTGTTGATGGGTTAGTTAATTTGTTCACTATTAGAGTTAGACAAATAAATTATTACTTGTTGATTATAAAGCGAGTGTCAGGGGTTTATTTTATTTAACCACTCCTTTATAACAGTTTGGGGGCAGTTATAACAGGATAATAGACTCCTCTCTGGGTGCTTCAGTTTTAGTTATCAAAAGGGGGTCGACCTCCGCATTATAACAAAAGGCTTTCCTAAGGTGTGGCGACCAGACTGAACACAAACTCAGAGTATGGCTTAACCAAAGTTTTATACAGCTGCAACATGACTAATCAACTTTTATACACTTGGAATGATCCATGTTCAAAGATAGAGTCCCACTGTTGAACTGCATTTTAATAAGTGTCACCTTTAATTTTTAATGAAAGCTCACTTTAGAATGGTTATCCCCATCTCTTCTATGAACTGATTGCACAGAAATTGAATAGGAGCTAATCTGGCACAGTGAAATTTAGGAAGGTCACAACTGTCATCACATGACACACTATAGCATTCTTAATGATGTAACTTTCCTGTGACTTCCTTTCTTGAACAATGGGCATATCTGAATGTGCATCAATACTGTAAGATTGAAGACACTATGCTGCTAATAAACCTTCTAAGCTCTACTCATGCTTTGACTCATGGGGGTCTGCACGTTACTTTTGCAGTTACCTGACTGACATTGATCGTATTGCAGCCAGTGATTACATACCAACAGATCAAGATGTCTTGAGGGTTCGAGTACCAACAACAGGCATCAATGAGTATTCATTTAACATGCATCAAGTATCTTTAAGGTAAGCAGAAATTATTTTGTGGAATAAAGAAGAAAAGTATTAGTTATTAGAACTAAAAATTCAATAATTTAAGCAAAATATGTTATAAAGACAACCACTAAACATCCAATAATTTGAGCAAAATATGTAATAAAAATAACCTTTTAATCACTCTGTTGTATCTGCTAATAGCAGTGAATAGAGTCGTGGAGTCATACAGCACGGAAACAGACCCTTTGGTCCAACCAGTCCATGTCGAACATAATCCCAAACTAAATTTGTACCACCTGCCTGCTCATGGCACATATCCCTCCAAACATTCCTATCCATGCACTTATCCAACTGTCTTTTAAACATTGTAACTGTGCCCATATCCACCACTTCCTCAGTAAGTTCATTCCACACACGTACCACCCTCCATGTAAAAAATTTGCCCCCATGTCTTTTTTAAATCTCTCTCCTCTCATCTGAAAAATGTGTCCCCTAGTCTTAGAAATACCCCATTCTAGGCAAAAGACAACTACCATTAACCCTATTGGAAGATATATCTTTTAGAGTGGAGGTGGTCAGCATTTCAAGAGCTGGAGACGTACATTGTGCAGTAATGTAATTTTATTTGATATTTATCATTCCAGCATGTCCACTTGTAATTCTCACAATAAATGAAGTATGCTTTGTCAAGAAGCATGAAATCTAGCCCAGGTGCTTTAGTTCTGTTGGCCTGAAGATTATTCTCCTTCTCTCTTTTATTCCTGTTCTGCCTCACTCATTTCTGCATTCTCCTTATCTCATTTGCCTTCTTTCAACCTTGTCACTCTCTCTTCTATCTCACTCATAAACCTTACTCTTAAAACTTGTAACTTAATGACTCACGTTCCTTCTCTTGTCACCTCCATCTCAGTCTCTCCCTATCTTATTCCTTCTTTTCCTCTCTCATTCTTTCTTCCTATTCATTCTTATATTCCCTTCATTCATTGCATCTGCTCCGATCAAAAACAACCACCTGACTATTCTAATCCTCTTTTCCAGCATTTGGCTCATGGCCTTGCATGCCTTGGAATCAAAAGTAAACATCTGATTTCATTTGATTTGATTTATTGTCACATGTACCTAAGTACAGTGAGAAGTTTTATTTGCCAGCAGTACAAGCAGATCATAGTAATCAAGGGCATACAGATCATAGGGTGAAAAAAAACATGGACAGAGTGAAACATACAGGTTACACTGCACAGGACATGCATGAAGCAAGATCAACATTAACAAAATCATCATCTAAATACTTTTTAAATGTTCAGAGTTTCTCCCTCTATCAACCTTACAGGGAGTGAGTTGCAGATTCTCACCACCCTCTGAGTGAATATGCTTTTTTTCTCTCATCCCCTCTCAACCTCTTGCCACTTATTTTATATCTATGCCCCATGGACATTAATACCTCCATTAAGGAGAAAAACATCTTCCTATCTACCCTGTCAATGCCTGTCATAATTATATATACCCCAATCATGGTCCGTCTCAAACTCCTGTAAGAAAAACAACCACAATTCTGTCCAATCTCTTTATATAACTGAAGCTCTACAGCCCAGGCAACATCCTGGTAAATCTCCTCTGCACCCTCTCCAGTGCAATCACATTTTTCCGTCATTTATCCTTTACTGGACTGAAAGGATTCAACCAGGATATCGTACAAGCAGCATTCTGGTGGCTCTTAGTGTGAATAGAAAATAGTTTTTGAGCAAAATGTGGAATTGATGATTTCTGCACATTTCAAAAGTGTGAGTTATCAGATTATCTCAGGGCAGAAATGCATTGCAATAATTGAAACACATATACTTTCAATCAGTGCGAGAACAGAAAGGGTTAATAAGATCAAGATGGACTGAAGCCCATTTCTTTCTGTTCATTAGTTTTGCAGGATGGAGAGTCAGGGCTGCAGGTCTAAGTAAAATAAAACAAAGAACTGCAGATGCTGGAGATTGAAACAAACAGAAACTGTTCTGAAGAAAGCTATGGGTCACTGGACTCAATACGATAACACTATTTTCTTTCCACAGATGCCGCCAGACCTGTTGAGTTCCTCCAGCAATTTGTTTTTGTTTGCTGCAAGTCTAATTTCCTGACCTGTGTTTTCCGAGTCCTCCAGGACTGTTCCATTATAGACTCAGATTTCAGACATAAAACTAGCTGTTTTGGATTTATTCATTGCAGTGTTGAATAAGGTGCTGGGAAATCTGACTGGAACTACTCAGTGAAATTTAAGGAGCATGGAACACTGGTGTAACAGTACCTCAGTTTTCATGTTCATATATCGATTGAATAACATTTGACAACTAAACAAGTATTCTCCGGATTCACATTTAAACTCATTAAGTTTGGTTCTGCTTTAAAAAGAGCAGTAATTCACATGTTTTTTTTAAACCAAATACTTTGGTACACCATGGCCAGTTGTTATTTCTGATTGAACTATTGACCTTCTCTAATTCTTAGATTCGTGGATGTTGGAGGACAGAGGTCTGAGAGGATGAAATGGATTCACTGCTTTGAGAATGTCATATCGGTTATATTCCTGGCCTCACTCAGTGAATACGATCAAGTCCTAGAAGAGAGGGAGAATGTGGTAAGACTAATGAGAAACTGACGGCATTGGGCATTGTAAGCCTCCATGTCCCTGTTGAACTATTGGAAATTAACGTGTTTGAAGTTTTTGAGAAGATTTGTAGCTCGGGTCATGGATGAGGCTGCAGACTTGCTCGCCGAGCCGGTGTGTTCGATTTCAGACGTTTCATCACCCTGCTAGGTAATACTGTCAGTGCGCCTCTGGTGAAACATTGGTGTTCTATCCTGCTTGTTATTTATATGCCTCGGTTTGCTGGGGTGCTTCGCATTACATCCGGTTCTATTTTTCAGTGGTTTGTATATCGGGTCTACTTCAATGTGTTTGTTGACGGAGTTCTGGTTGGAATGCCAGGCCTCCGGAAATTCCCTGGCACATCTGTTTGGCTTATGCTATTATGGATGTGTTGTCCCAGTCGAATTTGTGTCCTTCTTTAACCATATGTATTGAGACCAGTGAGAATTGGTCATGTCTCTTGGTGGCTAGTTGGTTTTCCTTATTGTCAGTTTTCTTAAAGTTTGGCCTATGGAATGTTTTTCCACAGTCCTTGTACGTTATTTTGTATATTATGTTAGTTTTATTGGTTGTGGGTATGGGGGCCTTTATTTTCGACAGTAGCTGTCGCAGGGTGGTTGTCGGTTTGTGGGCTTCCATGAAACCTAGAGGTCTGAGTAGTCTTGTGGTCATCTCTGCACGTTCCTGACATACGGTAGGGTGACTAATGTGTCTGGCCATGTGGTGTCTTCTTGTTGTGGTAACAGCAGATTGTGCTTTTTGGGTATCCATTCCTTTTATAAGTGCTCCAGTTCTGCTTTGCACAATTCCAGGTTGCTGCAGTATGTTGTGGCTCGTTTAAATAATGTCCTGACGCAGCTCGGTTTATGGGTGTTGGGGTGGTTCCTGGTGTAATTAAGTATCTGGTCTGTATGTGTGGTCTTTCTGTA